CTTTCTTTCTTTCTTTCTTCGTTTCTCTTTCTTTTTTTTTTTGGTACCAGATCAAACTCGGGTCCTTGCCCTTGCAAGGTAAGCGGCTGGTCTATTCCCTTTCAATGCAAGAGCCCTATCTTTGATGATTTAGCAAGGTTTCCAGAAGATACTAGAAACTCAAAAAACATTTCACGAATCAAGAATTGACGAATACTTTACTAGTAATTATTTTCCCAGCATGGCTGAATGAAATGATGAAATACTGAGGGTCAAATTGCTCAATATTTCTTGTCACCCACCAAATTCATGCCTGGTTTTCTACTGGCCCTGCACAGATGAGATCTTGAGGGTATGTTATTAGATAGCTATGATTTGTCTAGAATTTGGTGATTCTAGAAGGATTGATTTCTAAGGAAAAGAGCCTTCAGCTTTTATTCTGCCTCAGCACAGTGAGAGCCAGTGGGCTGCCTTTCAGATGAAGCACTTTAGCTTTTCCTCCCGCTCCCCCATCCCCACCCCCAGCACTGCTCCAATTGCACCTCGCTAGCTCTGAGCTCTAGGCTCCTGCTAAGCTAGGGTGGCCACTTCTCCTTTCAGCCACCATCATGATTATCTATCGGGACCTCATCAGCCACGATGAGATGTTCTCCAACACTTACAAGGTCCGGGAGATCGCAGACCAGCTGTGCCTGGAGGTGGAGGGCAAGATGGTCAGTAGAACAGAGGGTAACACTGATGGCTTGCTCACTGGTGGAAATGCCTCTGCTGAAGGCCCTTGGGTGAAGGTACTGAAAGCACAGTAGTCACTGGGGGGGATATTGTCATGAACCATCACGCGCAGGAAACCAGCTTCACAAAAGAGGCCTACAAGAAGTACATCAATGATTATATGAAATCAATCAAAGGCAAACTTGAAGAACAAAGACCAGAAAGAGTAAAACCCTTTATGATGGGCTGCAGAACAAATTGAGCACATCCTTGCTAATTTCAAAAACTATCAGTTCTTTATTGGTACAAACATGAATCCAGATGGCATGGTTGCTCTCCTGGACTACCGTGAGGATGGTGTGACCCCATTTATGATTTTCTTTAAGGATGGTTTAGAAATGGAAAAATGTTAATGGATCCATTGGATCTGTCACTTGTCATAACTAGCTGCTGCTTGTCATCCACAAAACACCGGGATTTTAGACAAATGGGACTGGTGTCATCTTGAATGGTTCGTTTATTTTGACTGTGATTTATTTGGAGTGGAGACATTGTTTTTTAGAGAGAAAAAACCCAAAACATGTCATGTAGGTTGTCTAAAAATAAAGTGCATTTAAACTCATTTGAGAGAATGCCTCTTAGTTTAATACATGTATAAACTAAATCCCTCGTAGTGTTTGTGGAGAAGGTAGACACTGATCACAGACCACTGCTAGAAAGCATAAGACTGTCTTCAGATAACTTCTGCAGTGGGAACTACTGGGACTGGAATATAAGACTGGAATATAAGAATCAAAGTTTTAATTCTGAGTTGCAGTGAAGGAGAAAAGACCATGCTCATGTAGTGCCGACATTTGAAGTGGGGCCTTATATATTTCATCACCTATAGTGGAAGTAGTTAACCCTGGAAGAGATTACCAAAAGAATAAAAAGACTAACTCAGTTGGAAGCAAAAAAAAAAAAAAAGCACTTTATGTAGATCTGCAGGTCTATAGCCAGTTTTCACCCTGTGCTTGGTATCTAGTAGAGTCCTGTGTGGGGTGTCAGGCAACTTGAAAACCTCTGTAGTTTTGTCAGCTGGGAGAAGTTTATTTGCCCATTGGTCTTTGCATTATTCCCAAATTAAAGGCAATCATTCTTCTGGGCATATCCTTTCCCTCCAACTCCAGGGCCTGAAGCTTTCAGCTTCATGTTGCATCTCCTGCTGTGGCTCTGCTGCTATTAGTTTTCTTATAGAAGCTGGTACTTGAGCCCTTTTGAGACTCCTGTCCCTTTTAATAATTCAGATTTTATTGGCTTGAGACCTAAACTATCCTATGGAGTGCACTGAATAAATCAACATTTAGGAATAAGAATCACAAAATCTGGTTGCTTTTCTTCCCTGTAACTCAGGAGACAGTATTTTGCAGAAACTATGGCATTCTCTGTACAATCAATCTGATGAGAGGAGAAACATAAAGTCAATGCCCTGATCATATAGTATCCACATTCTCTTCACCAACACTCCAGAAGTAGTCAGTCTCTTGAAATCAGGTGGTAGGGTTGCAAGAAGATTTCACACACAGAGTTTGGAATGAAGCAGCTGAGGTTTGAACCTTGGTTCTTCCACTTACCATAGAATGTATAGTTTGACCTCCCATACAAGGTTTCCTTATCTTTCAAGTAGGCATAGGCACTCCCTTAGCCCATTTCTGGTGCTGTAACAAAATACCATAAACTGGGTAGTTTATAAAGAACAGGAGCATAATTTTGCAGTTCTGGAGCCTAGGAAGTCTAAGATCAAGATAACAGTATCGGGAAAGGGCCTTTTTGCTGTGTCCTCATGTGCGAGAATGGGTGAAATGGCAAAAAGGACCTGGCTGGATTCCTGAAGTCCTTTTATGAAGCACATCCCATTTTGGGGGACCTTGCCTTCATGATGTAATCACCTTTTAAAGGCCTCACTTCTTAAATCTAACATATTGGGGAAGGGAGGATTTCAGTGTATGAATTTTGGGGGGATACATATATTCAAACCATAGCTGGCACAACAGTACCGCCAACCTCACAGGTTATAGGACTGAAACATGATATACTGATGGTAGATAGTGTAATGGTTTCCGAGGATATTCACATCCCAGTCCTCAGAACACGTGAACCCTTCATGGCAAAAGGGACTTTGTACATATGATTAAGTAAAGGATTTCAAGATATCTCATCCCAGTCTCTCCAGGTGGGCCCCATGTAGCCACAAAGGTCTGAGAAGTAAGAGAGGGAACCAAGAGTGTTGGCACCAGAGATCTGATGATGTCTGAGGAATCAATTGATAGAAGAAGCCGTGAGCTGAGGGACTGGGCAGTCTCTAGAAACTGGACAAGATGAGAAAGTGGATTTCCCCCTAGAGCCTTCAGAAGGAATAGTGCTGATAACACTTGGATTTTAGTCTCATGAGACCCATTTGGGAGTTCTGACTCAAGAACTACATGATGATATATATGTGTTCTTTGAAGTCACTAAAAGTGTGGCAATTGTTACAGCAATAAATAAATATAGTATGTAAGGCACTTATCCCAATATCTGGTAAATTTCCATAAATTTTTGGTGGCTGTTACTATTTTTTTATTCTTTTAGTCAGATATTTTTGCTACAAAGGATAAAAGTTCAACCTACATAGCTTAGGTTAAAAGGCAGGGAAAGGACTGGAGGTAGGAGAAGCTCACATAATTTTTAAAAATGAAAAGCAGATGTAATCATAAAAGCCAGTGCAGGGCCAGGGACTTAGCTCAGTGGTTCCACTTCCTGCCTGGCAAACAGAAGGATGCGAGTTCGATCCCTGGTACCAGAAAAAAAAAAAAAAGCCAGTGTATTTATTGAGCACTGGCTCTGACCCTGAAAGAGGGGCCCTTGAAGCTCCTGTTCAGGAGTTACATCTTCAGAGTGTGGTGCAAGGTACAAGGGGGTTAGAGACAATCACTTGCCTGAAGCAAAGTAGAGGCCCAGTGGCAGAGCAGAGAATTCAGTAGTACAGAGCACAGCTTGGCAGGAAGTGTCTGGAGACTGTGGCAGCAGTGGTGGCGTCCTAATGCAGGACTATGGCAGGATCTCTACTCTGTCCTAAACTGCTTGGATCTTGCTTGAGCTAGGTTTCTTAACCTTCTGCATTCTGTGAGCTTTCCAATGCTCTCCCACTGATTCCTCATTGGCATAAGTTAACAAGACTCACTTTTGCTGCATGAAACTCAGAATCCTGCCAAGTTCAGCAGAGAGTCCAACTTCAGGGTCAACTGGATCCAGGAACTAGAATTCGATAGGCCTCTTCTCTGTCTTGTTTCTACTTTCATCTGTTTTGACTTTTTTTGTTGTTGTTGGGGTGGTTTTATTTGTTTTTATTTGTTTGTTGTTTCATATGTTTTGGTGAGGATATACTATCTTTCAGTTTGACTTTATTCCTTAAACTGTGTAGTCCCAGAACAGAACTCTGATTGGCAGGACTTAAATCACATGCTTGCACCTGAGTCTAGCAGGATGGTGGAGATGGGACAGAAATTGGCCAAGTCTGAATCATATGCTCTCATCTGAGGCCAGGGATATTGGATACAATCGTTGGGAACCCCAAAAGAACAGCATGAAGTTAATAAGAAAGGGGCAGTTTTTCTAAGAAACTGTGAGTGCTTTTCCAGAAGAATATAGAGAAAAATGCTAGGCAGGAAAATTGCTGGGTCATATGGCAACTCTATGTTTAAACTTTTGAGAGAAATTACCTACTGTTTTCCAAAGCAGCTGTGCTATTTTACATCCTACAAGTAATGTATGAGTTTCCAATTTTTCCAACACTTGTTACTATTACACTTAGATTATAGCCATCCTAGTAGGTGTGACATGGTATCTCACTATGGCTTGGAATTATATTATCCTAATAACTAAGATATGCTGTATCTTTTCATGTGCTTATGGGATTTTTGCATGTCTTCTCTGGTGAAATATTTGTTCAGATCTTTTGCCAACTTTTATATTGTGTTGTCTTTTTATTAATGAGATATAAAATTTCTTTATATACTCAAAAATTAAACTATGTGGTGCAAGACCTTAGGAATCTATATTTTTATCAAGCCCCACTGCCATATGATTTCAGGTGAAGACATTTGAGACATTAGCTGTGTTCCTACTTTTCCTTTAATAATTAATTTACTAATTCATTCTATCAAACATTTATTGAGTGCCTACAGGCACTGTGCTAGATACTACAATTAGAAAAGCAATGGAAACCTCTAGTTTGCAAAACAGACAAAATATATCAAACCATGATATGCAAAATAAGCTATCTAACCTTAAATTATTTTAAAAGCAGTTGTTTAAACCCATATACTCTAAGACCATAGTGACAGTACTTACATAGACTTCTGTGTTCCAAAGACCACAGACAATACCAGCAAGTTTCCAGATTTACAAATTCTGTCAATCCCTGCCTAACACCACCCTGTGACTACCTCCAGTGCTCCAAATAGTGTAAATACCCTTTCCTAACTCCTCCTTTGGAGGTCCTACAGAGATTATCAAGGTCAAGTGTTTTCTTGCTCAGCAAGATTTCAATAAATGCAGTCTGTATAGTCAATAGGACGTCTATGGACTTCAACTGCAGGCACAAATATAAAATAGTTATTTTCTTCCACGATAAATTGTTTATCTCACTATTACTTTATATTCTGCTATAAATGATGCTATCCTAGAATCTAAATTTATTGTTTTTGTGGCATTTCCTCTTGAGGCACATTGATCAAGATGCATTCCTTGGCTACTTGCTGTATACTTTGAGAACAGAATATAGGAGCAGTTATTTTAAGAGTTAAGGTACTGAAGCAATAACTCCCAACCCCATAATCTGAAGCAATTTGAAAATCTCTCTTTGGATCCTGTGGCAACAGAAGCTGTGATTTTAAAAATGTCTTCAGAGTGTCCTTTAACGTGGACTTAGTCTCTTTCATCCTGCTCAGGATTTGAAGGTTTTGTTCAATCAGAAGCTGCCTATCTTTTTTCAGCCCTAAAATTTATTTCTATTGTGTCTTCCCTTCCATTTTCCTCATTATTTACTTTAACAAAAATGCATAAACTTCTAGACCTATCCATCATGTGTCTCAATTTTTGCCCTTCATTGGTTTTAACTTTTTCCATGGAGTTCTGTGCAAACCACTTGGTTTGAGCTTCCAGATCAGTGGTATAATCTATAGCTGTGTGGTAACTCATAACTCAAGTTTGAGAGCTTTTCTCCCTTTTTTATGAGTGTAATATCTTCTCAAATTTCCCCAAATTGGGTTCTGCCACGGAGAATTGTTATGCATTGAATGTTTATACCCTCCCATTTCATATGTTGAAATTCTAACCCTGATATGATTGCATTAAGATGTGGGGTCTTTGATAGGCCACCCTCTCCCCTCATGGATGGAATCAGTACCCTTATAACTTGGCTCACAATTTCAGAGGATTCAGTGGATGTTTTGGCTGACTCCAGGGCAGGAACATCATGGCAGAAGGGTGTGGTAGAGCAACACTGCTTACCTCATGGTGCACAGAAGCAGAGCAGGGGAACAGCACCAGAGAGGAAGGGATTAGGAACCAAATATATTACAGAAAATCACTCCTCCAGGATGCACCCAGAAACACCTAGAAGTATACTCTATGAATTCCCTAGGCAGCTCTCAAGACTATCAAGCGACAACCAGCCTGACTGTCACAGATCCCCTTCCCTACCCACAGCTAAAGAGAAAATTTGATGCTGTGCATGCACCAGCCCACTTTTTTTCTCGCAATATAAGCCATCTTCCCATACCCTTAGTGGGTTGGTTTGTGAACCATTTCCCCTTATGCTGCAGCACAAGTCTGAATAAAACTTTTTGCAGGTGTCATAGTTTTGCCAATTTGTGATTTCTATCTTAAGTAAAGCATGCTTAGCTAGTACAAATAGCTGTTAACACTGAAGGTGGCTGGTACCAAAATTGCCCAACAGCTGGTGCCGCTAACACTGAGTGAGGTTAGCAGCCAATGCTGGAAAGCAATGGAGTTGCTCGGAGCTTCCTTCTCTGGTCTCCAACAGAGTTCCTGCAGGCTGCCAGTAGCTGCTAGCTCTATCTGCCAGGAGAGTGGATGAAGGCTACTAGCAGTAATAGGTGATAGCCACTGGCATCCAAAGCTTGAGACTATTAACCCTAAGAAGAGCTGCACTTCCTTATTTATCATTTCTGTCCAAATTGAGCAAAAGAACCATCAGCCAACTGGCGACACCATCACCCACTTTGCTGTGTCCAGGAGCTAGGATAAAGCACACACAGCCTAAGTCAGAACTATAAATGCCTGTTCTATCACTATAACCAGTAATGTGTCTTTACTAGCTGTTTCTCATAACACTGTGACATTGAACTGCTACAACCTATAGTACTACATGTTACTGTTATTTCTTGCAGCATGGAATTTCAGTGGAAAATTACATGCAACTCTTGGAAAGGACAAAATATATTTTAAACAACCCTGTTCATTGCTCTTTCCATATGGTTTTATTGTCAAGGCTTCACAATGTGTAGGTTATGGTAAGAGACTCTTTTGGCTTCTATTCACATAACACACTAATATGTTTGGGGGCTAAATGCTGGAGAACTTAAACTTCTGATGCTGTAGGCTCCTCAGCTAGCCAGACAAGGAAGAATGGAGCATCTATTTTGTGCTTCAGGCTTCCTACCTGCTTTGGGTAAGCCTGAGCTCACTGAACTCACGACAGCCTGTGATCTAGAGGCATCTCACAACATTCTCATTCTTTAGAGTGGTTAAGTAACTCACTTATGCTCACCTAGGAAGTAAAAGAGGCTAAATGATCTCTCCATCCCAGGGTTAACTAGCAAAATGAGAAGAAAGGGGGAGAGGAGCATCTGTGGTTCCTGAGTCAGCATTTCCACTACAGCATCATCTTCAGACATTTTTGTTTGAGCATCTTAAAATTAAAATTTTCTAAGCATGTCTCTCATGTATGTGTGTTTACAGCATACACTGGGAGTTTGTTCTTCAAACTTTAGTGGGTATCAAAATCACATAGAGAGCTTGTTAAAGGACAATCATTAACCCCAAATCTACAGCTTCAGATGTACAATAGGTTTGAGATGGAACGCAAGAATTTGCATTTCTAACAGGTCCCCAGCTGATGTTAACTCTGCCTGTAGGAGATCTCCTTTGAATAGCATTGCTATAAACCTAACCCAAATATAGAAATTCAAAATACACCAGAAAAACAATAATAATTCTAATGATTTTTACCTGTGCCTCAGAAGACTGTCTGGTGTAGACATAGAAATAAGAGACCATTTTGGAAACCACTGCACTAATCTTAGGCACACTGGCTTTCCTGGCCAGAGAAGCAACCCAAACCTCAGGCACTGCCAATAAGAGAGAGAAGCATCAGATGGGCACAGCTCATATTCCCAGTGATATTCCCCTGTAGAGCTCAGGAGCTCTGTGCTCATTTTCAGTTAACTCCATTCCTATAATCTTTCTCTGCCTTCATTTTTTCCCTTTATGATAACAGCTACCATGGCTTTTAAGTAATCCAATCTAGCTCCCCTGTTGTTCCTTTTATGGAAATTCTAGCCACTGCAAGTATACAATCTACTTGATATCCATGAAGTGAAAATGTTCCGAGTGAATGATGCTTTGATTGAACTTTAATTTTGTTGTAACTTTGAAATCCTGGCTCTATGTAAGTGATGTGCCATTCAGCTTCACAGTCAGAAGCACATGGGAGGGCATTTTCCCCCGGCTCACATATGATGTAGATTTCCAAGGTATTCTTCAGTGCTTTTGCCATTTGGTGAAAAATGAGGCAGGTTTCCATGTAGTAAATAAAACAAATCCCAGAACTGTGAAAGAGAAAGACAAGGTATTTGCAAAGACTTAGAGCACAAATTTAAATCTAAAGGATCCTCTGGCAATAGGCTCCCCTGTAATAAGAACAAAGGAAAGGATTAACATTCACACCGCTTCAGTGGGGGAGAAAAAGAAGTTTCTTTTGATATTTTGAGATAAAGGAAGGTGAAAACATAGCTTATTACTAAAGACAAAGTACCTCTGCAGAAATAACTCTGAGATTTCTTATGACCAACCGAATTCAAGCAGTAGAGAAGATGTCATGCATTGGGAAGTGCTCTTTAAAAGACTGTTTGTAACATACAGGAAAACTGCTATGAAACATGTTCTTGCTTTTGTTGGACAGTCTCAGTTTAAAAAGCAGATTCCACAGGACTGATTGGTATAGATAAATAGAATGATTCATATGTATTTTTTCACCCCACGGTAATTTATTCCCTCACTAGTTTCCCACCCCCATTAATCTCACATAAATGGTGTTTTTTTCCATACATGAGTCTCTTGCTTGCTCAGAACTCAAGATAACATTAAGCCTGCAATGAACACTAAAAGCATTTAGCAACGCCACCCTTATTCTGATCCCCAATTCTTATGGAAACGAGTTCTCACCTTCCCTTCTTCTCACTCCCACTTCAGAAAGGGCTATAATGAAGTGGGGAGAGAGAAGCACTAGGTACATGTGACACCAGAAACACAGACACATAAGGGCCCATTATACCTGTGGGGTGAAGAATACTCTGGCCTTGGAATCAGTGGTCCTGGGTTGGTATCGCATTTCCCCACCTACTAGAGGCACCATCTGAGCAAGTTATTCAATTAGCCTAATAGCATTCTCATCTAGAAAATGCAAATACAACCTCCTGAAATTTAGCTGTGACAGGTTAAAGATGGCCACATATTTTCTAACACCTCTTTCATTGAGATGTGGCATCCTGGTCCCCTCTGCGTGAGTTTAGCAATGACTTTGGTGAATAGAATATACAGAAATGACAATGTTCCGAATTTTTAGATTAAGTCCTATTATTCTGGAAGCTTCCATCTTTAATGCTCTGCAATGCTTACTTTGGGAGCCCTTTAGCCACCACATAAAAGCTTAATTCCATAAAGAAAGCTAAGGGTTTCAGGTGAGACCAGCCTCTTAGGCAGCCTCGTCAAAGCACAGTCATTAAAGGACAGTCATCAAAGGACGTAATGCCAAGGAGTGGCATTAGCCTGGACTCTCTAGCCCAGCCCATGTGCAGCCCAGCCACCACCCAAATGCCAGGGCATGACCCAGTCAATGCTATACCAAGCTTACCTAAGGTCTGCCAAAATTCCTAGCCAACAAAATCATAAGATAGAATTCATTATTCAACCATAGATGACCAGAATATTAGTTTAAAAGATGATTGTGAGGTTAAAAAAATTGTATGTGGAAAAGGGCTTATAGACTGCATAATATAAAACAGCATAATTATCAATGTTATATAAGAATAAATATAGTCTCTGAACACTGGAGTTTACAGTTATTAATTTTTTGTGACATCTGCTATTACTATTTATTGATGCAAATTCAATTCCCATCAGGTGACAGTAGTGAAGATTAAAACAAATACATTCAACTTCTTCTTTACTTCAATAAGATTGAGGGCTTTGTAAATAAAGAAGAGTAAGGCAAGCTCTGAGAAGAAAACATACCATGTAGCTAAGGTATTTACTTGGCTATTGAATTTGGAACAACAATTTCATTTCTTTTCTATGCCTATGTTCACTTTAGAGTATTTTGAAGAAATAAAGTCCATCCACAAGAATATTTAGAGATTATGGCATCCCAATTAATTATCTGAAAATTTCATGCTCCCTGCTTAAAATCTTTCCAAAATGCTTTAATAATTTTGTGCCTTAATAATGAGTACATGAAATATCCAAACTCTTGGCAAGACTGTAATCCAAAAGTTAATTTATAAATTAAATGTTTGAAATTTAAAAACCATTTTTACATTGAGATAGTGCTATAAATTAGATGATTCCAAGACACAAAGCCAGTGGAATCACAAATGTGCTGTAATACTGCATAATATTCATTTTAAGGTTTAAAAAAAACCTCACCACCAAAGTCATACAGCCAAAACATATATTCAACCATATCAAATCCCTTTCAGTCAGATCTATGGAGCCTTCAGGATGTCAAAGCCCCATAGAATGGCAGTTTTAAAGTGACAGAGGTTCCATCTGCCTTGTTCCTTGAGTATGTCCAGAGCTTAGTAGCAGGAAGCATTCAACAAATGATTGTTGTCAATCTCTGAAACAGAGTGGCACAGTGACTAAGACGTGCTTCAGGTCTCAGAGACCAGTTTTCCTGCCTCTTGCTAGCAGTGATGGTAAGAAAGATAAACATCTCCAAGCCTCAATTTCTTCGACAATAGAATGGGATCACAGTGTCTCACATAGGGCGCGCATGAAAATTCAATGGAACATTGATGTAAAGTGCCTGACACCTAGTCAGTTCTCAGAACATGGAACAAGTATTATTACTGTCATTGAACCCAGACTTGTCCCATGTGTGGCACCCAGAACATCCACAGCCTAACTCAACAGCTTCAGAAAGTGCCCAGCAGAGGGAAGGACAAGGAAAAAGTATTACAACTTCTATTTCTTTTGAGACTAAAATTTTGGAGAAAAAATAAGCTTTATTCATATTTAATATATGGATTTATAATAGTGCTTGTATTTGTTATAAGTAAACTGAGACATAGTGAGAAGGCTTTGCTCAATTAGAGCTACACACATCAAAATGTTGAAGACCATTGATTTAATCATTCAAATAAGTCACTGGGACTGAAGCAAGGTCAGAGTTAGACCTTGACTTTCAAAGAGGGAATGCCACGGTGGGTGGAGGGAGTATGTATGTGAGGGATCTCCAGTTTCTGTGCTTCTATCTTCCAGCAGAGCCAAAGCCTAGATTCCTTCAGAAGGAATAAAATTGAACAGAGAAGGAGGAGAGGGTGAGAGAAGGATGAACTCTGAGAGCCAGCAAGAGCCAACCAGCCAGCCAAGCAAACTCGGTGACCAAGGTAGCTAGCAAGCAAGCTTGGGCTCCCTGTGGTTAGGGGTCTTCCAAGATGGGGGACACAGATTTTTCGAACAATTCCTGACAGCAGAATTCATAAGGTAAAAAGAAGAAATAAGGTCAAAGAGGTGACTGAGAAAAGAGTCTTTTGGAGATGGAGAAATGGGCTTGTGCTAATGACTGGTGGGAGGGGAAGAGGAAAGGGGAAGCAAAGATGCAGATGGAAGGTTAGCTTCCATTCCAGTAGGATGGTGAGTCCAAGCCCAGGGCACCATCTGTGTATAGGAGACACTTGTGAGCCGGATAGATGACTCAAGCTCTTAAGTCTTCAAAGACTGAGGACTTTAGATACCTCCCAAAGAGGTAGAATGTCAGTCTTTATTGTGTACTAGCTTGGACCATTTCTCAGATCCTCAAGATTACCCTGAAAACCTCACCAATTTTATAAAATGTAATATCATGCAAAATATAAAATGTGATAACATATAATATCAAATGTAATATCATGGGATGCTCAAAAAGGAAGCCATGAAAATTTCATGCTTTGTTCTAACTTTTCTATTAATATAACAATGACCCACACAAGTTGCCTTGTGCCTACCAATTCAGTTTGCTCATCTGCAAAACAATGGCACTGAATGTGGGATCCGTGTGTTCTCTTCCAGCCCTGAGATTATGAATTCCAAGATTCTGACATGGGCATATTCTCTAATGATTTGTCTCATCTACCTAAAAATTGAGAGCAGTGGAAAATTATAGTTTATTGAGAGCGTCTGATTATTTGTGTTGTTATCAATCAGTGTTTGATTAAGTGGCTCTCATTCCAAGAACCCTTCTTTAGTATCTTTACTCTGAAATTACTAGTGTATGTTGCTGCTCATATAATGAAGGGAGCTCATTAACTCTTCTAGAGCTCCTCAATACATATTATGGTTGTTGAGAGAGAGAGAGAGAGATTGCATTGATATTAGCTTCTAGAAGGCTATAGCTAAAACAATCAAATGCTTCCCAAATCCACCGGAATGAAAGTAACTACAGTACTTCCCCCCTCTCCCCTGCCCTTTATCTGCAGCAGACACATTCCAAACTCCCTGTGTAAGTCTGGATAGTACCATATCCAAACATGTATTGTTTTTTTCCTACACATGCATACCTACTATAAAGTTTAATTTAAAAATTAGGCACAGAAAGAGATTAACAATTATAACTAATGATAAAATAAAACAAGTATAACAATATACTCTAATAAAAACTGATCCTTTTCAATTTATTGAACTTTCACTTCTTCATTTAAAAGAAATGCTTTATGGCTTCTCTTTGACATGTTCAAATTGCCAGCAACTCTACATTTGTGCTTTGGGAGCATTATTAAAATAAAGTGATTATTACTTGAACACATGCTTTGTGATACTGTGACAGTTGTTCCGAGAACCTGGGTAGTGGGTGAGTATCATATACAGCATGGATACACTGGACAAAGGAATGATTAATGTTCTAGGCAGAATGGAGTGGGATGCTGTGATTTTACCCTGCTACTCAGATAATGTGCAATTTTAAAGTTATAAATTGTCTATTTTTGGAATTTTCCCATTTAATATCTTCAGACCACTGTTGATCTCAAGTAATTGAAATCATGGAAAACAAAACCGTAGATAAAGGAGGACCACTGTATTGGCCCAAATGGGTAAAATAAGATAAATTCGACATGCCCCAATATACCAAGTAAGCATTTTTCCTTTTTTCTTACTTTTTCATTGTCCTCAGAATCTATCTCATCATCTAAAAAATATACTATGATTTAAAAACAAATGAGAAACAGGAGGCAGGAGGACATCTCTTGAACAGCCAGACTTCACTAAGAAGACAATCTGTTGAAGAGCAAGTAGGAAAGAACAGAGAGTCTGGTCTCCAGAATGGAGGGGATACTGACTGTCAGAGTGTGTC